CTTCGAAGCGGTAAACGATCACACCCGGAGTAGGAGGGTCGACCTTGACATATTGGTTTGTTACGTCATCCTTGCGCAACGGAACGAAGACTTCTCGTGATTCAGTTGAGTTACGTGTCAGTGTAACCTTCCCGAGGAAATATCCTCTAGGGCGTGCGATGCGAACCAGAAGTAAGGCAACCGATGCCGAGATGGAGGTGTAGATGCCGTTCTCAATAGACGAAAAGACGGTGACCAGGACTGCAGCCAACCAAATAAGAAACTCGAGGGGGGAAACGCGCCAGTAAGAGAATGCTTGGGAAGGTGACGCGACAAGATCAGCGACCGCGTGGATGATGACTGCTGAAAGGCCAGCGTTAGGGATCCAGTAAAAGGCTGGGGTAAGGCCATAGAGGGCAACAAGGACAACTATCGCAGTGAAAATACCAGCCAGAGGAGTCCGCACACCCGAACTTGACTTCAAGGCAGAGCGGGAGAACGATCCTGTAGCGGGATACGCATGGAATATAGTGCCGAGCGTGTTCGTGATGCCTATGGCGATGAGCTCCTGGTTGGGATTGATCTTGTATCCATTGACCCGTCCAAATGCTGCAAGTAGCGTGTCAAAAGGGCATAACGGTCAGATGATCGGTGACTTACATCTGGCAATGGCGATGTGCTCAAGAAGGAGAATTATGGTGGCGACAGGGATATGTGGCCCGAGAGCTTTGACGAGCTCGCCATCGATGACAGGCGCACCCACGTTTTGGAATCCTGAGGGAACAGTTTTCAAGATGGCAATCGGATAATTACCGGAGGCGGTTTTACGGTGTCGGCAGTACAGCCAAGAAGCTAAGGTCAACACTATCACCACAAAAGCATTTCTTGTAATTGAGATGAAAAAGAAAAGTCGGGCTGGAAAAGATACCATAAGAGTTTCGTCATAGGAAGACTACACAGATTACAGCTTACCTCGTCTGGGGTACCGTTTGGATAATTGGTTACAAATGATGCGAATTGCGTAGAGCGAAAAAAGGCCTGTGAGACCCCAGGCGGCATCTAGTTTTGCACGGGGAAGCCCCTTGAGAGTATTGATGATAACTTCGTACGTGGCAGCTCGAGTACTATGAAATAGGTCGCAAATTGCGTTTCGTTCGAAATGACTGACGCCCTTACCTGAACCCGGTAATGCCCATGAGGGCAGGAACCTGACCTGCAACTATATTTATCGCAGATCCAGTCATGAACCCACTGATTACTGGCACGGGTATGAACTCGACGATCCAGCCGATGCGCAAGAGGCCAATCCCGAGTACGATAAATCCACAAACAAAGGCCAACGTGGTGGCTATCAGTGGGCCAGCCCATTTATGAGGGTACTTTGCATCTACAGCAATAATGATTTGAGCCACGGTTTGCGACATAACTGCCACTGGTCCGATAGAAACATCTTTCGAAGTCGCAAAGAACTAGGAGTAAATTTAGCGCCGCGATTATCCAAAGTAGCGTGCACGTACGCAATATATAAGAACGCCAACGAAGGATGAATACAGACCGTACTGCGCAGGAAGTGAGGCAAGCTACGAAGGCTTGTCAATCAACGAGAACAAGATTTAAGACAGAATATTACTATTGCATATGACATTCCTTGCGGGACTAGCACCATCCCTACGGTAAGTCCAGCAATAAGGTCGCCAGTGAGCCATCCCAAATCTGAAAACGTGTATGATTAGCCTGAGCTTGTCACAAGTTGACGGAAAAATGCAGTGTCTTACTGTATCGGGTGATCCATCCAAAGATTGGGAAAAGACTGGTCAAGTATTTCACCGCCTAGAATAAGACAATCCAAATCGAGTATTCAGGGTGAAGAAAAGTAAGGATTTCGTACCTCATGCCTTGGATCTTTCACAACTTGAATGCCCTTCAAATAGGTTTCAGTGGAGATTGTGGTTACAGTCTGCTCGGGGTTTCCGATAATTCTATTGCCAACACGCTTTGCTGTCGAAAGCATGGTCGAACTCCGAGTCAGTGGCTCCGATTCAAATGGGCACACCGGGAATGAGAGGCTCGGGTAGATATTTATGGGTAGATGGGCGCTCAGCGTGGACAAATGCAGCAGATTCGGCGGCTTTCAAGTTGTTCAAGGCAATCAAGACTGGCTCCAAACGACAAGTGATCACTAGGTTCGCAACGTAGGACGGTCGCCTATACAGTTTTCTGTGATGTCGCGAAGAATGGCCAGCCAAACGAAGGCGGGTGTCCATTTTATAGATGCGATAGTCCAAATTGATCTGTCAAGATACGTTCTTTCTGTGAAGCATACCACGCCTTGATGTCAACTAAGCACGCCATTGATGGTCGAATTAGCGACAACAAGCAGATTTGCAGAGGATTCAGGCCTCAGGCATTTGTCTACCATATGACTTATATCCGCTGAGTTGAAATTCATCGATCATTATCTATTCTGAGTAGTATTTATTACTGAGATACGATGTTCACCGCGATGAATGTGATGGTGCCATCGAACACAATGGTCCAGGGGCAAATAAAACGCGAAGCGGATCATGTTCATGACATAGGCACTGACTCCGCAGCCACAGCACGGAGTCGGCGCAAAGCGTATCTTTCAATCTGACACCAGCGACGACGATTGCCAAGGCCTGAGGCAGCAGTAACAGCGGCTGCACTACGTTGCAAGGTACAACTCCGTCAGAGTCGTTCCCGCCTCCCGGAACAGCGTGAGACTCGTGTAGAGAGTCACTCACACATGGCGACAGCATACTCGTGGAGAAAGCCTTTCCTAGTAAGTAGAAATTAGTTATGTAAATCGTAATGTTAGTCCGAGTGGACCTAGTACTACAGGTACTAAGTACCTGCCAGGCAAGCAAGTTCTTGTGTGAACGCGACACAATGCGAGTGCCATGTCATCCTGTGCTATCAACTAGGACGATGTTCCTCTCAGGGTGACAGGTTGTCAGAGGCTTCACCATCAGCACATTCGATGGCGACATACAGACTAATTTGATAGTATTACGCCACGCCCTGGCTGTATCATTAACGATCAATTCGAGAGATATGTACACTGACCTGAACGATCGATTCTTTGTAATTTGCGAAAGCCTGGCCCCAGCGAGTATGAGTTCAACTAGAAAGCTTCAAAAACTACAAGGTCCTAGGCTGCCGTAAATGGGTCACGTGTAGCAACTGTTTTGCACTGTCCGCTGTGTAATGTTGTACATACTCTCGTCGCTGTAAAGACCAGAGCGCAGTGCGCCTGTATCACGAACAGATATCACGAACCCATCAGTAACAATATCGATTTATGTCTATTCACCCAAAGCCTGTGCCTCTCGTGGCACCTGGTCATACACGCCCAGTAACTCACCTCTCTTTTTCACCACTCCAAGACGATGGCACCTATCTTCTTGTGTCCAGCTGCAAAGATGGCAATCCGATGCTCAGAGAATGGACCGGAGACTGGATAGGCACATTTCTGGGTCATAAGGGTGCAGTATGGTGCACAAAACTCTCTCCGGATGCTTCGCGAGCGGCATCAGGAAGCGCTGACTTTACTGCGTGAGTCTGCCGCTCCAATTTCCACCTTACTTCCTTCCTTGCTAATTATAATTAAAACCAAGGAAAATCTGGGACACGTATTCAGGAGATGTCTTACACTCATTCCCTCACAACCATATCGTTCGAACTGTGGCAATCTCTCCGACGTGTTCTCACCTTCTTACTGGAGGTCAAGAAAAGAAGGTCAGAATATTTGACCTTGCACGGCCAGACGCGGAGGCAGACTTCCTTGGCGATGTTGGCCTACCGTCCCATGATGGAACTGTGAAGAGCGTAGTTTGGGTTGGAGAACATACTGGTGTATCGGCTGGAGATGATGGTATCATCAAGTTTGTTATAATAACTAACCACGACAGAACGCCACTGACGATAATGTTGTACAGATGGTGGGACCTGCGAACACGAAAACTTACAACAACTATGACATTCCCTAATCCCATAACTTCGATGGAACTATCGCCGCAAACCAAGCGTCTGGTTGTGACATCGGGAAAAACTGTTGCATTCATACCTGCTTTACCTAGTGGTACTCCAACACATAGTCTCAACCTAGCGTACTCGCCATCATCCGCATCCGTTCATCCTATCCTTCAAGACCGCTTTGTCACAGGCAATCTCGGTGACGAGTGGGTCAGAGTCCATGGAATGGATGGCGAGGAGCGGGAAATCTTGAAGGGACATCACGGACCTGTCCACTGCGTCGAGTTTAGCCCTGACGGCGAAGTATATGCAAGCGGCAGCGGTATGTTTTCCTCCTAACCGTAAACATTCTTATCTGATTAGGCGTCAATTACGTTACTTTTCAGAGGATGGTGAGACTTGTTCGAACAGAATGGTTTGGACGATATTGATGGGTATAATATCACAGGTACAATTCGACTCTGGCAAACAACACCCGGGAAGGCATACGGCTTGTGGCAAGGTAATACTAACGGTGGTTAGGAGAGAGTGGGAAGGAGACACCGCACACCGTCTAACATCTTTAGGTCATACATTGTCGATTAGTTTGTGGAAATGTTCGTTGATCGAGCAAGGGGATACATCATGTAATGTCACGAAGCTTACAATTCAATCATATCATACTGTTTCCGATCTGCATGACTATCTTTATTCAACAGCTAGCGGACTTGCATGGAATTACTCAATCATACTTCCACTGGGGCGCATACCGAGAGTACTCGTGGGTCATGGTTGAGAGACGCTGGGCAGTTAACTTCTTGCCTGCTGTCAAGTTGTGTGCCGGAGTGACTTGATTGGAAGGATGATACCCGTTTTCACGTGGTAACAATCTCTTCCTTGCGTGTTGCAGTCTTATTATTAGTCACATGCTCGTCCGAGACTATACTTAACGGGGGTCGTAGAACGATGTACTAGTACATATGTTGAACAACAATTGCGGCGGCCGTTACGTTGGACGGTACTTAGAAAGATAAGGAGCCAATCTATTTCGGACTCGGAATGCCAATTACTCCTGTAGGGGATAGACTGGCGCTTGTTGAGGCTCGTCTATACTAATATGCGCGAGGCATGGTTCACCTGATCCTGTATCCACGATAAAGCGACATCTAACATGCTGAAGTCAATCACCAGCTACTCCAGCCTAGCAATCTTGCGGCGCTCACATGTATCATCTATTTACAAGAGTGGAGTCAGGTTAGCCTCCTTGCACTCTACGCCCGCAATCCAAAGAGAGGGCCTGGGAGATTTTTCATTAACAGACCGGGTTGCGATTGTCACTGGAGGCAACCGTGGTCTCGGACTCGAGGCTGCATTCGCGCTCTCTACGGCTGGTTCGCGTGTAGTATATTGTTTGGATCTCCCGGAGAAGCCAGGTGAAGATTGGAACGCCGCTCGCCAGAGCCTGGCAAAACTTGAGGGTGCAGGAAGACTCGAATATGTGACTAATGATGTCCGCGATCAGAAAAAGCTGCTCCAAACGGTAGAAGAAATTGCAACAAAGGAGGGGAGGATGGATATTTGTGTCGCATCAGCAGGGGTCACTGGAGCCGCGCGGCCTTGCTTGGAGTATACAGAAGAAGAGCTCGAAGAGGTGTGTCGATGTTCTGTATTTGATCGTAAGAACATAGCTCAACTTCGTGAGAGGTTTATGCTGTAAACCTCAAAGGAGTGTTCTTTAGTGCTCAAGCTGCTGCAAGGCAAATGCATCGGTTCCAAACACCGGGAAGCATTATTCTCCTGGGCTCCATCGCTGGCAGTGTTGCTCTGAAGGTAACCATAGCTCAGCTCTTCTCGCTTACATACCCTTGACTGCTACACTTGCAGCACACGCCAGTACTTCCGTACAATACTAGCAAGGCTGCAGTGATACAAATGGCTCGTGTCATGGCATGTGAACTTGCACCAAACAACATCAGGGTGAACTCGTTATCACCAGGTTATATTGAGACACCGTACGTTCTGTGTTCAAGTTGTGTTCCAAAACCCTCTGACGCATAAGTTTACAGCATGACGACAGCAATAATTTCTGCGCGACCGGAATTTCAAGCTATATGGTCAGAGCAAAGCGCTATGAATCGACTTGGAAAGCCTCACGAACTACGTGGAATTATAACGTGGCTGGCATCTGACGCATCGAGTTTTTGCACGGGAAGCAAGTGCGTAGAATGTTTTGGTTTTCGGAGATGTGAACATTGACGTGAATATTTCCTAGCATTGTTGTCGACGGTGGATATACCGCATGGTAGAGCCGAATTGAGTTCTGAATTGATTCTATGTATATGTACTTGGGAGAACTTTGGAGTCGTCTATATTATGAAAGCATTGCCACTGTTATCTTATCTTATCTCCTAGGTCACCCCACATTAATTGGGGTAGGTGTGGAGTCGGTCTACAACAGCTTGAGCTTGCAGTTGCAGACTCGTCTGAAGCTCCGGAAATGACTACCTCACAGGAAACATCCTCTGTACACGCTACTTCACGCAAAAGCAGTGATTCAGCATCACCCACAATGATACACCACCGTCAGACATTGCAGCTACCTCTTCCGATTCCAGACATCTTCTACTCCGCTGCTGGGGGTGCCCATTACTCTGGAGCGCCTGTGTCTGAGGATGACGATCAAGTTATCGTGTCTCCTGCCAATGGAAAGCCCAGCCCACCCATGGACGACATGATTCGAGATCGCATCATGGTTGACCTGAATGAACTCTACTGTTGTCGGCCGTCAAAGGAGATTCTTGAGAGAACTTGGAGGCCCGATGCAGTTTTTGAGGTCAGCTTCATGCCATTCTTCAACTCCACGATTCTCTCATTCTGGTAGGATCCTTTGGTCAGATGCGAGGGTTATGCGCAATATGCTCCTCAGGTACGACTCTCCAGCTCATGATATACTTGCCAAGATCTGAGTCGTTCACGTAGTGGTTTGCCATGGCGAGTAATCGTGCTTTCGAGTAAAATGTCAAAGCCTCATAGGTTTTCAGCCTAAGATTTTTTCAAAGTCAGAGACAATCTCGAGTCGAGTCATGTCATTTACTCGCTTGCCGAAACGTCTCATCTACTCGCAAACGCAAGAATATACTTTACGGTACATAGGATTCAAAAAGGTATACAGTGTCGGCTAACTTCTGAGAAAAGTACTCATGTTCTTCGCTCACTTCTTTCTAGCGAATTGAGTCTATCATCGTGGTGGATTTGGATGATGACGACAAGATAATACATATGGCAGACCAGTGGAACGGGGAGTCGTTGTCGTCTTGGTTTGGTGTCAATCTCCTCAGACGCGCAAATGCCCTTGTCACGCCATGGTTCGTTGGTACCCCCAAAGCTTGATGCTAAGGTACAGAGGTCGTCCGGACGTCAACTCTGATGCTATATCGTAATTCGCTAAGTGCTTGTTTCTCGGTGTCTCCCTACTTCGTCTTCGTCTCTCAAGTTAATTCATTGTTACTTTTGCAGCCCTTGTAGTTGACTGTTGTTGTATAGGTGCCTCTCTCTTTTGCCTTCGTCGCCCAAGTTAATTCGTCGATACTTTCCCAGCCCCTTTATTGTCTGTACTATATCTGAGGTGCGTATCATTCATTATCTAGAAGTCGCACTGACCATTCTTATAGACTAAGCTCCACACACGTAACGAGCTCCGTTCTTTCTAGTTTACAATACTACACGCAGAGATTTGTCTTTCATGTCGTCCGCTAGCTTGTAAAGTACTACACTATGGATTCAATATCGTATGATATCAGATGCAGGAAGCAATGCATCAATGGAAGCCCATAATCCCCTAGAATTGTACTATCAGATCAAACACGGATAACGCGGATACCTCAATTCTTAGATTTCACTATCTGCTGTAGGAAGACCACTTCGTTCCGTAAATTGATGCTTCATGCTCATGTGGTCACGAAGTAATTCGGAATCTAGTACCGATTTCATTATTCATACGCCGCATCTTGCCTTGATTATGGTCAGGTGAGCTCACAGAAGGTCGAACCTTATTGGGATGGAGATCTATGCAGTATAAAGACCCCTCATGCGTGATCGTTTCCCCTAACGTTACTGGGACGAACCCGTCGCAATCATCTATCATGTCCAGGTAAGATGTGCCAAGTGTTTATTTCGATCTATCTATCCAGGTATGTTGCATGGAACGGAAGCTGAATTTTCCTATAGTTCCCAATTCCCAGCTCAATCCGCATCTCCTCTCGGTAAACTCGGTATCGAGGCTGCCCTCGAGGCCGCTGCAGACCCATCCATCACACCAAAGCCAAAGATCTTCGACGAGTTCGCGCTAACCGACCGCGTTGGGCTTATCTCCGGCGGAAATAGGGGTCTTGGCCTGGAGATGGCTCTTGCATGTTGCGAGGCTGGTGCACGTGTCGTATACTGCTTTGATCTTCCAGAAAAGCCATCAGATGAATGGATCGCAAGCAGAGATTACGTCGCGAAGCTAGGGAATAACTCGCGGCTGGAGTATTTCAGCGCGAACGTCACTGATCAGCAGGCGCTTTGGAAAAAGACGGAGGAGATTGGTGATAAAGAAGGAAGAATGGACTTTTGCATCGCTGCGGCTGGTATTCTCAAGTCGCACATAGACTGTCTGGAATACCCGGCGCAGGAGTACAGGGAGGTGGGTGATTGTCGACAAGTTGCTCTCCACCGGCAGTTTTTGAAATCAACGCCAATGTAAAGGTCCTGGATGTCAACGCCAGTGGTGTCCTCTTCACTGCGCAGGCTGCTGGCAGACAGATGTCGCGCTTCGGACGCGGTGGCAGCATCATTCTTATCGCATCAATGTCGGGCAGTATCACTAACAGGGTGCGCATCTCCCAAAAATCGCTATGGGCATGTTTGCATGCTGACCCTGTGTAGGGCCACGCCTGGGTATCATACAACAGCTCCAAATCAGCTGTCCTGCAGATGGCTCGTAGCATGGCTTGCGAGCTTGGCGAAAAGAAGATTCGCGTCAACTCGTTGTCTCCAGGACATATCTACACCAGGTTCGTCTCACGATTAATTGCATTGCAATGCTAAATCATGATGGCTGTGATAGTATGACTGCAGCATATCTGGACAAACAACCGCACCTTTTCGATGTGTGGTCTAGTATGAACCCTCTGGGTCGACTCGGACGCCCTGACGAGTTGCGCGGTGTAGTGACGTGGCTGGCATCTGATGCATCGACATTCTGTACGGGTAGCGAGTGCGTTGACTCTGTTGAATTTCTTTGCTTAGCAGTGAAGCTAACTATTCGCAGTATTATCGTCAGCGGTGGCCATCACTCCTGGTAATGGAGCACTCGAGGAAGAAGGGGTTGTTTGTGGGAGGCTTGTTGTATCTGTAAAGAAATGAGACTTGAACCTCGCATAGACGGTCACAGGAACTTCATATAGCAGTAAAGTACCCTTCTATACGTGTAATCAAGGGGATTGCTAGGCAATCTCCAGGGTGAGGTTGGAAACCTCTTTCCGAGCAGCGGCGTTGTCGCGGGTCCATTCTATACGGCAGTGAGCACGTTATCTCCGCAGCTAACCGCAAAATAGTACTTGGTAATCACCACTCATAACAAAGTGTAAATAGAGGCAATTGACTGTGCCTGTGATCGGTTTGGACTCTTTGGAGGCCCTTGACAGCGGGTGTGCGAGGCTGCGGACAGTGACTGCTGTTATCATCGTGATTGGCGATTTGCAACGTTGGAGTGGTGTATCCGCGACTGTGAGCCTGCCAAAAGAATACAAGGACACCCCGTGACTGCCAAGCTGCGAGCCTGCGGCACTACACGGCTGCTACTTCGCCTAGAGGTTCCCGTCAGTGTCAAGGAATTGGTACTTAGCAGCAAAGTATTTCTTTGTGATAGCCTACAATAAAGTGCTTGCAATTATCAAGTTGAATTCAAGAAAATGTTTTTGTGGTTGACAAAATGCTAAATTTGGATAGATCTTGATCGGCGCAGTCAACGACTGCGGATTCTCGAAATGCGCAGTGGACAAGGAACGGTATGCCCACAGCGTTTACTCTTGCATTCCGTCCACTCATCTCGCAGTCGTACTAGAAGTATATCTTCGCTTTTACAACCTCTCGCAGCAGCACTTCTAGCTTTTCGAGCTGCTACAGGTCATGGAATCAACCCATGAGCCAAAGCCTTCAAGGAGGCTAAGGGACCGTGATCCCGCTCAGCCAACCGATTTTGCAGAGCGTATGGTTGCCTTCCAGAGAAGAAATGCCGTGTATGTTTCATTTCTTTCCTATGTAACTCATCTACTAAATTTTATATTGTTCATTCAACTCATCTAGTGCAACTCGTCCTCGCGAACGCCCTGAGCGAACGCCGTCATCTCCATCTACTTCTCGTCTGCAACCTCCAAATCCCAATTCGCCACCCGTTCCTTCCCGCAGCTCTCCCGCAGTCACATCTCCACGCAAGACTCACCTCGCACCTCATGTTATCGTGTCCCGTCCAGAGGCAGACCCAGATGACTTCTCACGGCGCCTCAAGATATCTACATCCCCTCGCCCCCATCATCATGCAAAACAGACCCAACAGGGCAAATTATTTAATCCTAACACAGATCCCATTCCCATGAGACGGACAACTGAACCCGAATCAATTTCTGATATAACAAGTAGTTCTTCCCCGCCGCGCAACACCCTCACTTCCCATCAGAGGGAGCCGCCAGCAAACCGTCAATTATTCGACCACAGGAAGGATGATCCTGTAAGGTTTGCTGTATCGGTTATGGCCCGTCCATCCTCAAATGGTGGTAGGCCTCCACCTACACCTAAATCATCAGGAGACTATGTCTCCGCGTCCTCGACTTCCTCGTATGCTCATTCCTTGACATCAAGCTTCACCCTTTCATCTGGCACGACGGATAATTCATCTGCATCGTCCGCATTATTCGATAGCAAGCCTCGTGAGGATGCAGGCAATAATGCGTTCGCCGTTCAGCTTAAAAAGCTGTACCGCAACATATCCGCTCTAGAAACAAGGATCTTAAACGAGGACCCCGATGATCTCGTAGATGAAAGTCGCGTCGTTCTCCAAGGACGAGGACGCGAAGTTAGCGACGAAGACCTCCAGCAGCAAAAATGGACGAAGCTGATCTCAGACCATAAACGGTAAGTAGTTTTCTGGTTTTCATCATGATATCATTGATGGAATGCGTACAGACTCGCTGAGATGATGCATAATCTGATGGAGATCTCCCTCGCACCGAGCGTTCCGGCGTCCCTCCGGGTAATCCCAAGCAAGTACAATATCATCATTCGCCTCTGGACACACGCATTCCACAAACTCCTGGAGGCCTTGAGGCGTGCCTCGTTTTCCTCACCTCTCGCTCTTGAACACCTTCAAGACTTTATATATTACGCCTACACCTTCTACACCGGCCTTCTCGAAGAGCCGACTCTGCGTTCGTTCCGATCGGGCTGGCTCGAGGCTCTCGGCGATCTTGCGCGCTATCGCATGGCTGTGGCTGCAATGGTCACTAATAACCAATTGAAAGGCTCGGCACTAACTACAGACGCTGTGTCTAAAGCGGCCGCGGCATCCGCAGATGGCGAACCTGTGACAGCCAAGAGCAAATCACAGATGAGCGTCAAATCATCTTCTGATCATCCCGCTGCGCGGGTAGACAATTCACCGAGCCCGAGCATTGGCGTTGTCGCCGCGCGGATGATGGATGTCGAGCCAGAGAAGGAGCGCTGGCGAAGTATCGCAAAGGAGTGGTATGCTCAAGGCATTGCGGATACCCCTGGTGCAGGTAAGTTGCACCACCATCTCGGTTTGTTAAGCCGTGAGGTCGACAACGAGGAGCTACGCGCCGTGTATCATTTTGTCAAGAGGTTTGTTTTCGCGTCAATTCTCTCTGCATCATCGCTGATCAATTGTTCTCCATAGTATGACCACCCTCCACACATTCTCAACCTCTCGAGAGTCCATTCTTCCCATCTGGTCGTCAACTGCGCAATCGCGGCGATCACAACCTGACGCCCGTGCACCCGAGCTCTTCGTTCTTTTACATGGCATGCTATTCACTAACATCCAACTTGACGACTTCTCGCCGACCCTCGCTCGCTTCCTTGAGCGCATCGAAATCGAAGGAGCCGAGGAACGCGAGTGGATCATGATGGCTGTCGTGAACATCGGTGCCGTGCTTGAATATGGTCGTCCGAGCGGCGTGCTGCGTAAGATTGGTGGCGTAGGTGCTCGTGACACTGGCGCAGGTGTTCCAGCTGTAAAGGTTGCCAAGAAGTATCAAGTTACGCCCGCATTCCGCGACGAAGATGGTGCAGAGAAACGGATGGACGTGGATGACGAAGGCACTCAACAAACATCTCCAGCTCTATCAGATGCAAATATCCCTATGGAGCTGCCGGTGTCATTCAAACTAGCGTTGGAACTTGCAT